GTTATCATTGTTGTATCCTCCTTTACTAATAAACCATAACAGCAGGAATGCTTTTTGATACATTCCACTTTCTCAGTTAATAACATGATATTGGTAGTCCTCCACTTACAAACAACAATCGAGCCCAAATTTTCAGTTGCTAAGCAAGACAGCGGTTAAGTGACTTTTGCTGCATTTTATGACCTTTCTTGCCACAGTTCTTTTTCTCAATTTTTTTTATTAAGTTATAGAGTATTGTAAAATACAAAATACAAAAGTAAATAGAAGAAGAATGGTGGAAGAGGTGAGGGGAAAAGGGGGAAGTGAAGTGAGGAAAGATAGGGAAAAAAGAAAAGAAAAAGAAGCATTGACTTACGACTCTCTCTGTTACAGTAAAATAAGGCATTAACATCAAATCACAGCTCTTTGCTTTTCCACAATAGTATAAACAAGTCATTTCTATAAAGATATCAATCTAATCTGTAAAACCCAAAGTCAGAGTTACATTCTTTTCCACATCAAGCATGAAGTTCAGAAGCGGTTTTCATGTGGAAATGAAAGTACTTACATTCTTTTCTTTAATCAAAGTAGTCATTTTTGCCTTTTCCGCCAACTCCATCAACTTCCGCAACCATTCTTCCATGCTAGGAATCGAAGTGTCCTTCCATTTTTGCACATACAGTAGTCTTGCTGCTGTCAATATATATAGTAACAAAGTTCCAAATTTGTTCTCCAGTTCTTTTCCCATGAGACCCCAAAGGAAAAATTCTGGTTTCATTTTTATCTCCGTTTTCAGAATTTTCTGTCATAAAATATGAATCATACTCCCATTTGTTTTTGTTTGATCACGTGTCCACCATAAACGATTAAAAAAAATCCCTTCTTTATTTTTACACGTCCAACATTCATTTGACATGTTTTCTTGCCGCAGTTCTTCAGTAAATCACTGCAGTTGTTAAATTACTAGCACGGTTGTAAAGTCAGTTTGTTTTTCCCATTGACTTTGCTTGTCAGAAGGTCGCAAAATGTGATCAGATGACCCCGGGACACTGCAGCCGTCATAAATACATGCCAGTTGCCAAGCATCCAGGTTTTGATCACATGACCATGGAGATGCTGCAAGGGTGGTAAGTATGAAAAGCCACTTTTTATAGTGCTGTTGTAACTTTGAATCAGTGGTGGGATTCAAATTTTACTACTGGTTCTGTGGGTGTGGCTTGGTGGGCGTGGCTTGGTGGGCATGGCAGGGGAAGGATACTGTAAAATCTCCATTCCTTCTGTGAGATATAAGACCCCCAATAAATTTATACTCACAATACGAAGACAAGTCTGGTGCACAATTTCAAAGTTTTATTGTCGAAAAGAAAAGCAGTTGCAAGCGCGGCCTCCAAGACCCTTCCCAAGTGGATTGAGTACAAGGAGAGCAAAATTCGATATTCAAACAATACATTTATACCCCCTGCACAGAACACGCCACGCCTAAGAGGCCTTCCCCACTCCCCCTTATTATAAGATAGGCTTAAGGGTCAACATGACATTGTTTTCTGTGCCTCTGTGTCTTATCTTGTTTCACTGCTGGGCTTTACCTTGGGAGGATATCCTTTATCTTATTTACTTGTTGCCTAGCCCCAGGAAGATCTTCCTGTTTTCCAAGAAGATTGTAACAATGCATCATGTACTTGTGACTTAATACATTTTAGGTTTTAGGATGGGGGTTTTATATGTAACAGAAAGAGTAAAGAGGAATCTTCTAGCTTAACCATACCTAAACTATGTAAAATCATTTTACAAAAGAGTAACTTATAATATTTTTCTCTCACTTCCCCACCCCACTAACCTGCTTTCCAGCTCTGTTTTCCTGTGCAGGGCAACCAAAGAAGACCCAGCCGATCAGCTGCTGGGACTCGGGAGGCAGATAATAGATGGGGGCAGGGCCAGTCAGAGGTGGTATATGCCGGTTCTCTGAACTACTCAAAATTTCCATTACTGGTTCTCCAGAACTGGTCAGAACCTGCTGAATACCACCTCTGCTTTGAATAGTCATTAAAACAAAGGGTTGTTAGTCAAGGATTACCTATATATGTTCTGGTTACATAAGAAATATAGGACAAGAAAAATGAAGTTTGTGCAAACCAGATGACATTTTTTTCACCAATCTGTTTTATGGGGGTAAGTGAGAGGATAAGGCTCATCCAGCAAATCTACTATTTCAGATTATTAAAACAGGTTGACTAAATTGAAGCTCTCTAGGTTCTCACGCCTGCAGCTGCCATTAGGGCTTGTGCACTCCAAAGATGTAGTCCCACTCACTCCACCGGTCTCTAGCCTCAGGTGTATAAACTGCCAGTGGAGGGCAGAGGCCTTTTCTCTGCTCCCATTCCTTGTTCTAGTGTGTGTGTGTGTGTGTGGGGGTGCGTTTATCTCATCACACCCAATGTAAAATTAAACAAGCCTGCAAGCCGGGCTGTACTGGTAGGAGAGGAAATTGCACCCGTGGAAGAAGTGGAAGAAGTCGTTTGGTACTGCTTTCTTCCAAGAGGATGACGATCCTAGCCGAGAGCCTCACATTTTTCCACAGGTCTCCCCTGCAGCAATTAACCCAGACCAACTTTGCTTAGCTTCGGAGATCGGCAAGGTCGTCCAACCGCGGCAGATACCCCGCTTTTTTTTTTTTTTTTTTTTTACGGCCTGCCAATCCCTCTTCCCTTGTGGACCCCGTGGCTGGGGCCGTTGCTAAGGGACCGCGCGCGTCCCTCCTCCCCTGCGGAAGGCCAGGCCCCAGGCGCCGCGGTTGGCCGCGCGAAGGGCGTAGAGCGGCACGAGCCGCGCAGAAACCGCTCCGGCTGCGTCTCCGTCGCGCGGTGGTTGAGCGGCCGCCTCTGCCGGGGAGGTGAGCGCTTTTGCCTTTAGAGACGAAGGAGAATGAGAGAGAGACTGTCTATCTGTCTGTCTTGTCTGCCTGCCTCTCTGTCTGTCTGTCTCTGTCCTTCTGTGCGTGTATGTGTGTGTGTATGTGTGTCTCGTCTGTCACGAATCCCCTTGTCTTCTCCATTAAAAAAAACAAAACACTGGATATTTTTCTGCCTGAAAAAGCCAAATACCTACCTTTTGGGGGGAGGGAGGAAGATTATACTGTGATTTAGAACTGCCTTGTTTAATAACCACTGAACAGTTAGGAGCTGTTTGAACGGTAGCTGGAATAAAACAAAGTTGCCCCCTGTTAATTGGGCAGCAGACTTTAAAAAGTAGAAATGTTCTTTTTTGATACAAGTACTTGTAAAAGCTGCAGTGCGCTCCAAGGAGAGAAGAACCCTCTTACTTTCCAGAGGAACAAAATACATTCTTAGGGAGGGCGGGAGGGATACTATGTTTATTTGCAATATTGTTATGTACTATTATTCAAATTGAAAAGCAGATGCTGTTAAAACTGGAGGTCTAGAGAAGCATACCTAGGATGAGATCTCCTGAGCTGTGTGGACTATCCTGCTGAGCAGAAAAGTGTAGGATTGAACTGCAGATCTGCTTTCACTAACTAATCTAGTGACATCTATTTGGTCAAATGAGATTGGTAGCAAATTTTGTCTGAATGGAAGGAGGGGCCTGCAAATTATCACACACACACACACACACACACACACACACACGTGTGTGTGTGTGTGTGTGTGTATGTATGTATGGTATTCAGCTTTGTTAGGGTATTTTCCCACGTCATTATAGTTGTGCTTTTAAAGTTGTAGCAACATTTCGGCAGAATCTCATCTGCTATCATCAGGCTTCTGTATAGTGTTCGTCTGTGAATCAGACTTTCACAGCTGTTTCAGTTTTAAATTTGGGGCTAGCCTACTGCTGTGCCAGAACGGTTTTTTCTTCATCCTGATTGGTTGGGAGTCTTGGTCTGTGTTTATTGGTTTGTGCCCAGGTGTTTGCCTGGCTTAAAAGACCTGAAAGCATGAATAGAAGAGATGACTCCACCAGACTGTCAATTATTTGGAAGCCTGCACTCACAAACAAAAAAATCTTCACACCACAAGCCAGCCAAACACCTGGGCACAAACAGACTCCCCCTGATACCTCCAGCTCAAACACACCTCAACCAGGCACCCAGATGAAACCTAGCTTCCTAATAAATGATAGCCGTCCATTTACTCGGAGCCAAGCCGCACTAAAAGCCTCCAATACAGGAACACAATGTTGCCAGCCAATCAAGACAAAAAAAAGCCACAAAACAGACAGAAGATATTAGAAACACCAGTCAAGCAGAACACAGCAAACTCCAAGACCAATAAACACAGACCAAGACTCCCAACCAATCAGGAGGAAGAAAAAACCATTCTGGCACAGCAGTAGGCTAGCACCAAATTTAAATATAAATACCCGTGAAAACTTAAGAATATGAATACACACACACACACACACACACACACCCACACACACACACCAGTAGTCCTCAACTTACAACAGTTCCTTTAGTGACTATTTAAAGTGACAATGGCTCTGAAAAAAAGTGACATGGTCATTTTTCACACTTACAACCCATGTAGCACCCCCAGTTATTAAGTTATTAACATAATAATGCAGTGATTCACTTAACAATGGTGGCAAGAAAGATTGTAAAATGGGGCAAAATTCATTTAACAACTGTGTCACTTAGCAACAGAAATTTTGGGCTTAGTTGTGGTCGTAAGTAGAGGACTACCTGTATATAGAATTGGATTAGTTTATATACTTATCAGTCAATTATATCATTTACTTGATCAATGTATGCCACATATAACATTTGGGAAGGAGAAAATTGAATGACATAATGTTAAATGTCACTCTATGATCATTATGTTTCTCAATATTTGGTTTTCATCTTAGTATGGTATCCAAGATGTCTAAAGTCATTTGTTGAGAGGCTAATACATTCACACAAGTATCTTAATTTACTAAGTTAAAGTAAAACTTTTCCACATTGTTTAGATATTCCTGTTCAATTTTCTATTAGCAAAATTTTATGTTTATTTCCACAGGCTTTAAGAATGGCTAGAAAACATGAACATTTTGGATTAAGCTATTTGGAAGAATTGAATATAGTTAAGGAACGTGAAAATATATGCAAAGAAACTAGGCAGGAATTTTTGAAATTTAAACAAAAATACGTTTCTGACCATGGAAATGTAAACAAAGCTTTACAGGAAGTTTTACCATCAGGTCAGTCACTTCAGTTACCATCTAAAACTAGAAGTCCCGCTCTATGTTCTGAAACCAAACAACTTTCTTCTGAGTCGGATACTTTTGCAATCCAGAAAAAAAAAAGGATTGTTTGTGATGAAGACGAAACAATCGAGATTGAAGATACTGCAAGTCAGCCAAAGAAATCTTCTAAGAAGCAGAACAATACTGATGGTAAAAAAAAGGCCTTTCATTCTGGAAAAGCCACCCTAGAACATAAAAGTGAGAGCCCAGGAGATGAAAGTGAAAAAATGCCAGTATTAATAGCTTCTTTCGTAGGAACCACCAAGCAGATGCCCATATTGAAAAAACCAGAACCACTGAAACCAAAATCTCCAAGGGTGCCTTGTGCAAAATTACAATTTAAAGATCAGTCAAAAGATAGCATTGTTAATGTTAAACAACTTGAACAAAAAATATTATCTCAGCATATAATTCTTCCCACAGCAGCGACCAGTACTGCAGACTTTGATGATACCTGTTCTGTAGTTTCCTATATAAGTGAAAAATCTATGAGCATTTTAAAAGAAGCCTCAGAATTAAACATACCCAGTCACTTAGAAAGATCTTACAGTACAAAAAGCTCTGCTTCATCTAGTATGAAATTTGCTCCAGCATACCTGGAAGAAACAGTATCTGAAGGTAGATTAGGTTTTTCAAAATCACATTTGAAACCTTTTTCTTCATACAGCAAGTCAAAGTTGTCTTCTGGAATTGTTTCACGATCTATTGATGAAATAATTGAATCTTTAAAGTCTACTGTTCCCACTGCATCAGACCTAAAGATCAAAGAACTCTTGGAGAGTATTCTTGGCCAGGATTATCTCATAAAAATTCAAGTAGGTAAATTAGAATGAATTAAAGAAGCTTGGGTTAGTAAGATTTTCTTTTACTAATATTGCCTTTAAAAATACTGTCTGTTGTCCCAAAGGTGTTTTTTTCCCCAAAAGGCAACTGGATTTCTTAGATTTTTTTTTCTTTGAGAATGTTTTCAAAGAAAAAAAAAACAAGCAAAAAAGTGCTGTTATGGAAAAGAGCATTTTTGAGACTTCAATAATAATAATAATAATGTATTATAACATTTTGAAAAATATAATATATTTATTAACATTTGCTATTACTTCCTTTCTGGTAGTTGTTGTTAGTTAAAAGTAATATTGACCACTTTTAAATGGATTCTCCTTTGTAAGGATTTCTTTAATTAAAGAGATATACGTATAGGTTGGTGATCTATGTATGCAAAGTATTATTCTTTCAAAGTCAAGATAAACTAAAATAAATACAAACAAAAGATAATGAATGCTAAGTTAAAACCAAACCAAATTATACGTAGATCTGTGTGATGTATGAACACAACCTGTGTAAAAAAGTAACTTCATTGTATTGATCTATGATCAATCAAATCAGCAGTTTTAAAAATTATTTTTATTTCATCTTATAATCTAACAAATATATTATGGTTAAAGCTTTGAGATGTATTTTATTTTTTTAATAAATTTTTTATTAATTTTCCAAATTTTAAAAAACATAAAACAAAACTTTATACATTGTTATCAACATCAAGACATCTTTTGCATTTCCTCACATTTTTCAGTATATGTATTTACTTATTCCTTTACCATTACATCTTATTCTTACTATAAATCAATATCTTTTATCCTTACATCTCTCGCATGGCAAAATGTCCTTTCATATTATTTGCATTTCCAACATTGACTAGAAGTATCTTTATGTATCTTAGATAATTTTTCTGCAGTCACATACCAAGCATATACAGATAGTCCTTGGGTGATGACCATAACTGAGCCCTGCAATTACAGTCATGACAGTTGTAAAACTGGTTACCATATCACTCTATTGTACCAGTCTTAAGCTGTCTATTTTTCTGTGCAGTATTAATAAGTCCTGATGGGTGGAGTTCAGCCAGTTCGCACTACTTCGGGAGAACCAGTTGTTAACATTCCGAGCAGTTTGGTGAACTGGTTGTTGGAAGAAATCATTAGAGCAGAGAACCGGTTGTTAAATTCTTTGAATCCCACCACTGGGTTAACCCTTTCTCCTTGCCCAGTGTTTCTTTTCTGTAAAATGCTTCTTGTGCTGAAATCGATTCAGTAAAGGTACTTTGGGGCTTGTATTCATATTCTTAACATGGCACTTTGCACATAATGGTTTTTAAAATCTATATTAACTTTAACTTTATTGTACCATAAAAGCCATGCCTACCACACATCAGGTTTGTTTTTCTAACGCCAATGTTCTATTGTTTCTTAGCAACATCCACTCTTTCATTCAAACAGGCTACAAAATGCAGTTTGAAATCTGGCAATCCTAATCCTTCTCTTTCCTTTGCATCTTGCTGAATTTTATATTTAACTGTTGATTTCTCCTCAGCCACATAAATCTTTTTGCCATTGCTTAAAAGTGCATCATTTCTGGGATAGATATTGTTTAAAAAAACATTCTTGATAATATATTCATTTTCATTATGGAAATTCTTACAAACTATGATAATTGTAACTTTTCTTATCTTAGTAAGGACTTAATTTCATTTCATATCATGATGTTATTTTGAAATGATATACGTTTTATCAGGGGTGGGATGCTACTGGTTCAACTTGGTTCTATAGAACCGGTAGCTCTGAAGAGTAGCAGACATCGAACCGGTTTGCTGTCTGCTGCTCTGTTTGGCCCAGCCACCCGCCCGGGCTCTTGGCTGTCCTTTATTTCCTGCTTTTTCAACCTCAGCTGCTTTGTGTGGCACAGCTGAGGTTGAAAAAGCAGGAAAGAAGAGGAGTTTGAAACACTGCGCACCCGCCCACAGGACTTGTCAGCTGTCCGGGTGGCACAGCTGAGGTTCTTGGGAAATGCTCTACACACACGCACAAAATGCACTCTCACCAGGGGTGGGATTCTACCTGCCGGAGAACTGGCAAATAGCACCACTGGCTGGCCCTGGTGGCCAGGATGTCTCATACTGGCTATTTTGCTTGGACATCTTTTTCTTTTATTTCTCATTTGTTTCAGGTAATGTGTATATGGAGATATTTTTTCCTTCTATGAAAATAGGAGAGTAATAGGCCTGCAAATACTAGGTTTCATTTAATTGTCTACTGTGATTGCTGCAGTGATAGCAACAGAATGCTGTTACAGGATTGTGGATCATTGCGGAATCCTTCTCAGTGGCAGAGAAAGAAATCTACAGTATTACTCCTTGATAGCCCTCTTTGAGAGGGTAGGATTTTTTCATTTCATATTCTGCTAAGTATGGGTTCAAGGTGTCCAAAGTTTACTGAATTATATCCTAGCATTTTTAATGCTATATACTTTCTAAGAGTTATAGACAGATTGTATAGCCAATTCTTGAATAGATATCTTTAATGGTGTGAATAAAATTTCAACAGATGTTTGTTTTTCTCTAAGATCATTAACTATAAAGAAAATAATCTGAGTTATTTATTTATTTAGTATTTGCTTACATATACATTGGCAATTAAGGAAATATTGCAGTTTAATGAATATTTTATAATATTTCATATTATAAATAATATTTATAAATATTTCATAATACTTATATTACCAAGAGAAGTTTAAATATATTATATGAATTTGTGCTTTCTAATATTTGTATTATTTTCTTTTAAAATAAAGCAGTCAGCTATCAAAAAAGAAATGCAGCCAAATGAACTGGAATTACCAGCTGTACGAATGGCACCAGTGGAAAGTGACATTATGAAATCGGTAAGGTTCAACATGACATTATAGAAAGATTACAAGTTTTCCTCTGACAGTGACATAAGGAGTATCCTAACAGAACTTGCATTAGTATATTTATCATTTTCTATCAGAGTGGAACTTAGGTTTTTATGAATTGTTCATTCATTTGCACATGGAATGGTAAGATGAATTCCTTCTCCCCAATTTGCAGTTCATTGACTTCTCTGGAAATTTTAGAGATTTCTGAAGTATAAGTCCCATAGTAAAGAGCTGCAATTCTATAATGTGAGTGATTACATTCATTCCTCACCACTTCTAAATGCGTGTAACAATAATGATAAAATATTACATTATGTTACATTTATTATGTGTACATCTCAAAGGACTTGAGATCTTCTAAGAGGGGAAATCTTCTGTGATGGAGGATGCCACAATGATTAATATGTCTCAGTGAGCAGGCAGAAGGTGGGAAGGTCGGGAGTGAAAGCTGCCTATGAGTAGAGAGCAGATCATGGAGCATTCTAGTATCTTGAAATTTGCAAGGGGCCTGGGACCAAGTAATTCAAGACTTTGTATTGAGGGGTCTCTAATAATTAGATGTGGTTTGAGAGGAACATCCTGTGATGCTAGTGTCTTGTATATGACTGGTGGTGCTTTAGCTAGTGGACGGAACTTTTGTATTTGGACTTGGGCAGCTATAAGTAAGAGTCAAGAGGATTCAGTATACTATCACTGAAGGTACAGATTCACAATTATGGCTTCTGCTAGTGGGGAGGTGGGGAAGGGTGCCTTTGCTCAGCTTCAGATGGTTTATCTCTTAGCTGCAATGACTTGTGCCTTTGTCACAACCATTTAGACTACAGCAATGCATTCCACATGGAGTGCTCTTTAAATTATTAAATAGTTTAAATAATTATCCCCTTTATTACCACATAGTCTAATAGCTATTTATAAAAGGAAACACTTCATTCAAAAAAGATGTTGAGGCTCTAGAAAAAGGACAGAGAAGAGCAACCAGGATGATTAGGGGACTGGAGACTAAAACATATGAAGAACAGTTTTAGGAACTGGGCATGGCTAGTCTAGTGAAGAGAAGGACCAGGGGAAACAAGATAGCAGTGTTCCAATATTTGAGCAGCTGCCACAGAGAGGAAGGGGTCAAGCTATTTTCCAAGGCACCCAAAGGCCAGACAAGGAATAATGGATGGAAACTGAACAAGGAGAGGTTTAACCTGGAAATAAGGAAAAACTTTCTGACAGTGAGAACAATCAACCAATGGAACAGCTTGCCCTCGGAAGTTGTGGGAGCACCATCACTTGAGACCTTCAAGAAGAGATTGGACTGCCATTTGTCAGAAATGGTGTAGGGTCTCCTGCTTGGGTGGGGGAGGGTTGAATACCTACAAGGTCCCTTCAAACTCTGTTAATCTGTAATGTCTTTTGGGCCAGAAGGTTCCAATGACTTAGCCACCTTCTAGAGAGGGAGAGGATATATTGCTCCTGAACCATAGCTTGAAAGTAATTCTTAAGCTGTTAGCTATTGAAAATATAATTCAGGGCAATCTTACTCCATATCTTACTCCTCTAAAAATGTTTGGACTTCAAAGATTCCCAGTTAATATTTCTGAACAATGTCAGATTGGAAAGCTGCTTTCAGCCTGGACTTTCTCTAAAATGAGCAGCAATGGATTCATGTCAAGGAGAGTCCACCCCGCATTAAAGGAACTGTCCTAGATAGGAAGGATCTTCAAATCCTTACACATTCATTTCTTCAACTTTCTGAAGAATGAAGACAAACTATTAATCCAGTGTGTGCCATGGGTGCCACTCACATCTTCCTTGTTCAATGTTATTGAGGCACATTAGAGTGGAAACTTCAACTTTCCCTCTGGGGAAACTTCTGCCCCTCCTTGTATTTCTCTGCCCCCCACACCCTAGTTATTTGCCCCTGCATTCATTTGCTACCCAGCAGACCAATGGGTAATTGGCCCCTAAGGTTGTATTCTACTAAGGTCCTTTGGAGAAGGAGCATATTCTTTATAGATTTTACTAGAGCAGGGGTTCTTAATCTTTTTACATCATGTACCCCTTTGAGAGTCTAGAGGCTTCTAGACTAAATTACTTGGTTGTTTGCATTCATTACTGAGTGGCAAGGTAAATTTCAGTTAGAAATAAATGAAAGTAGAAATTATATTTTTGTCCAAGTTTACAGACCAGCTGAATGAAAATATAATTCTATTTTTTCTCCCCATTGAAGTTCACAGACCAGCTGAAATCTACCCACAGATCCCCAAAGGGACCCAAGTTGAGAATCCCTATAATAATAATGTCCCTAAAACAAAGGAAATCCTACAGCTCTGCTCACAATATCATAGCCTATTTTGGGAGCTATTGCTGATTAAGTGCATTAAGCAGTCAATGAGATAGTAGAGCTATTCAGCAAATGTTAATTGGCAATTCCTCTACTTCAGAGCTCCACAATTTTATTTTAGGATGGCTGTGGACCATGGGAAACTTAACAGTAGCATAATGACATGGTGGAATAAGCATTTTTGCATTACTTTTATGTTTCAGCAATTTTTAGAAAAGCAAAATAGGTATATTAAACACACTGATGGACAGCCGACATCTCACTGCTGTTGTTCAGTGGACTGTTTGCCAGCACAGTCATGGAAGATTTCTGGGATTGTAAGAAGGATACTGGGAAGCTATTTGTGAATTATAAAGCATCAGTGCTTTACTCAGACTAATTGGATCTGGTGGCCAAAACAGCACCTGCTTCTTTTTGGGAAGAGAATGTTCCAATTTTCAGTATTTCTAGAATAGAAGGGTGAATGGATGTCAATGGGGAGGAGAGGGGAGGGGAGGTGCTCCTTGATTTCTGCCAGAGGCTCCCTGTTTTTTTCCCTATCCCTACTTTTGCCAAACGCTGTGACAGTCAGATGTTGAAGCTTGTTCCTAGTAACTAAGATACCTTGACTGGTCAAATGACCAACACAGGAATGCTCTTTCTCAATCCACATGCTAGAAGGATATAACACCCTTAACGGAGTATTTGGAAGTTACCTCATTCCTTGTCAAGTCTCATATATCCTTGGTTACTGTCCGGCAGGCATAATGCTGATTTGAGCATAGGAAGGAGTTCTATCTGAATTCGCCTAACTCTTAACAATTGTTGGTGTGTGTGTGTTTGTGTGTGTGTGTCAGTGTGTATAAGTATGTGTATGTGAGAGAAGGAGCCACTCCCAAGGTTAACAGCCTTTGCAAAACTATAGGAGTGATTGAAACAACAATGTTTTTTTTTTAAAGTTTCTTACATGTTCTTCAGAGGTGGGCAACGGGCAACCACCCACAATCTGAGAGCCTACTGCCAAATGGATCTGACAGGTCTACATGTACCAGAAACAGTCATTAATATGCTAGCAGTTGTCAGTCATACATGGCAAAGGAACAAATCATAGCAGTCCTCATGTTCCTTTTTCTTTTCTTATCTTCACTTCTGATCTGAAAGAGAGTTTCTTGAGTTTTTGTTTTGTTTTGAAAATAATATTAACACTCTGATACCATAGGTGGTTCTTCCTTTTCCTCCAGAATGTACCTGAAAGTAAGAATAACTCCCCCCCCCCCGCAAACTCAAGAGGAAACCCATAAAGTGCAGAAAGACACTTCCAAAATAGAGGTGCAATAACAGAATAATAAAATTTTCTGTTTTGACTTAATTGATCTGAGTTGATACTTTGTTCTTTCTTATCAACTATTTTTTAGCATCCCTTTTCTTGTTTTGTTCTAGCTTTGAATTATGTTCTTGACATAATTTTATAAAAATATTATAACATTTGTTGAAAAAGGAGCCTGGTCCTAATTGGGGATGTTTAACAGATGATCAAGTATACCGATTGAGGATGGGAGCGGGGGGTTAGAAGTAAAAAAAAAAAAGTCAAGTTGATGGCTGTAGCTGTACAATCAAAGCCGCACCTTTTAAAAGTGAGTTTTAGAGAGCACACGTAAAAAGGAGCCGGGCTTCTATTGCATAATTACGGTTGTCACTGACTTTTTTGACCTTCCTAAGATACACATGTAGTCATCACTGCTAAAAGTGTTTCCTAAGACGAAAAATCTTTAAGGCAAGAGTTTGTAATCTTTTTTGTGCCAAATATTAAGAGTCTGGTGAAACCTAGAGACCCCATGTCAAAAAGTGTATCCGTATGATAAAATAAAATGCATAGATATAGATTGTATTAAAAAGGAAACTAAAGCCCTGAATATTAAAAAATAGCAACTCTGTAATATAGCTATGGATTTGATTTCCTATTAATCCAACAAATCAGTACCAAGACAATGAACCTTTTAAAGATATAATAATGTTACATGGCAAGATTTACTGAAGTTAACAAACATTTTTGGAATCTAAAGGCTATAAATTATTTGTTATTTACAATTATTTATTTGCAATTAGAAGTTAGTGAAAATAATATAATTTTTCCCCATGCAAAGCACTTTAAATCCATCCACGAACCACAGCTCAAAACTCTCTGCAGGATATAGGGTATAAATACAATAATAGAATAGAATACCTTTATTGTCAAATACAATGATATTTGAAAGCTACTCCAGCATAGTGCCCCAAACACCACATCACAATCTCACTACAGAATTTAAAAATTAAAATTAATAATAATAATAATAATAATAATAATAATAATAGGACTAAATCACAGATGCTCTGTTTGATTCAAGACAATTACTGTCTTGGAAAACAAACTGTTTCTCAATCTATTACTCCTCATTTTAAACATCTATAATGCTTCCCTGATGGTAACAGATCAAAATATGAATGTCCAGGATGAAAACGGTCTGTGGAGATTTTTAGTGTTCTAGAAAGGAGTCTGTCTGTATTGTCTGAAAATGGCAAGTTCAAAGTTTGAAAACTTTGAAACTGAAAGAAAGCTTTTTTTAGTATATTGCTATTGGTACACGACAAACTACTGCTAAAATTAAAATCTTATGGTATCTCTGGACAACTATATAACTGGATAGAAGCATTCCTGTCAAACAGACAACAAATGGTCAAAATTGGGAGTGTCCTATCAAATTCTGTACCTGTCAATAGTGGTGTCCCCCAAGGCAGTGTTCTAGGACCAACTCTCTTCATACTCTACATAAATGACCTCTGTGATCATATTAAGAGCAATTGCGTTCTTTTCGCTGATGATGTAAAGCTGTTCAATACCACAGACAATATTGCTACCCTACAAAAAGATCTTGACTATGTATCAGAATGGTCAAACAAACGGCAACTTCAAATCTCAACAAATAAATGCTCTGTCTTAACATATTGGCAAAACAAATCAGAAAATAAAATACAAGCTGAATAGTCAAGACCTTGTTGATGATCCAAGCTCTGTAAAGGACCTTGGAATACTCATCTCTAATGATCTAAGTGCTAGAGCCCACTGTAACTATATAGCCAAAAAGGCATTAAGAATTGTTAACCTAATCCTATGTAGCTTTTTCTCTGGTAATATCACACTACTAACTAGAGCATACAAAACATTTGCTAGACCAATACTCGAATACAGCTCATCAGTCTGGAACCCACATTATGTATCTTATATTAGCACAGTTGAGAAAGTCCAGAAATATTTCACAAGAAGAGTTCTCCACTCCTCTACTCGTTGTAGAATACCTTATGCCACCAGACTTGAAATTCTAGACCTAGAAAACCTTGAATTACGCCATCTTCGGTCTGATCTAAGTATGGTAAATAAAATCATACATTTCAATGACTTACCTGTCAATGAGTACTTCAGGTTCAACCATAACAACACAAGAGCACACAATAGATACAAACTCAAGGTTAACCGCACCAAACTTGATTGCAGGAAATACGACTCAGCAATAGAGTGGTCAATGTCTGGAATACTCTGCCTGACTCTGTGGTTTCTTCCCCAAACCCCAAAAACTTTAACCTTAGACTGTCTACTATTGACCTCACCCCTTTCCTAAGAGGTCTGCAGGGGGCGTGCATAAGCGCACCAACGTGCCTACCGTCTCTGACCTATTGTTTCTTTTATTTTTCTTATATGTACCCATTTCATGTATTCATAACTATGTATATACTTATACCTATTATCTTGTAAGCGATTGACAAATCAAAATAAATAAAATAAATTAAAAAAATAAATATTTATACACTTAAAATTTCCTTATTGGAAAGAGAGTCTATGGTTCTTTTTATCTTTTTTTGAACACTTTATTCTTAAATAATTATGATTATGAATTAAAACACCAGACATCAAATTAATCATAATTATTTGAATATAATTATCTTAATTATTATTTAATCTAATTACTTAAGTATATAATCACCATACAGTAATGACAGTGGAATATCTCTGGTAAACATGTATTTTTTGTGTGTGCGTATATGTACACACACATACACACACACACACACATTGTTGAGCTTCATCTGTTTCTTGGCATCCTCAAAATGTATCAGGGACAGGATTCTATGCTTCAGTTAATCATCAACAATATGTACTGTCCCTCAGTTTTGATTTATTGGATATTGGATTTTATTATGATGGTTTATTTCTTGTAAAAAGGTAGTTTTGTCCTGTATTGCGTATTTTTCAGGCAATATCTGAAAGATCCCAGTCAAGGTCCATTTCCTACAGTGCACAGCTGCAATCTTCTGAAGTGAGAGAATATACTGCTGGAATTGAGGTTAATTCATCCTATTCTCATTTTGTTGTTGCTTATTTTTTTCTTTCAAGCTGCTTTGTTGGGTAATTTACTTTATAACATGAGTGTTTTTCCTTCATGTGATTTCAGGTTCTCTCCCCCCCCCCCCCCCGCCTTAGTCAGATAGTCAGTTCAATAGACACAGGAAGTTTATACTAACCTAAAATTAAAGGAGAGGGAAAAGGTTATGGCAACCAGGACTATGGTAGATTTGGAACAGAATGAGGAAATATGGGGCTTGCTACCAGTACTTCAGTAGTTTCCAAAAAATGAGAGGAGATAGGTCTTCAATACGGTAGTCTATTTGTCAGGGTTCCAAGTAACATACCCATAGCAAACAAAACTCTGAGGCAGATAAATTCCTCAAAGAATAAGTTTATTGGATATGTCATATTTCACAGGCTGGTGAAAACCGACTCTGACTATTCCCGTAGTTTTCACCTAATTAAAAGTAGAAGTTTGTCACTTTCTCAAAACAATCAGTCACATGGTCCAATCAGGATACTGTCAATTGCTAGGTGACTCCAGTTCCCTCCTTCAGAGCATCTGCAGGAATGTCCTTGGTTCCCAAGAGAAAGTATTTTGTTTTGACTACAAACCCCAACTATCTCTATTCCACTCTCTCTCTGTCCCTCTTCTCCAGTGTGTCAGCGCTGAAGTCTCAAAATGGCTTCAGCCATGGCCAGCTTCAGTGCTGACATTCTGTGTTGCTTGGGCAAACTAAAGACATTATTGATTGGAGACATCAGACATTTTATGAAAAAAAAGTCTCTAGTCATGTGTAGAGGGCTTTTTTCTTTTATACTGAGTAACTGTGACTGGGTGTTCCCCATACAAGATGAATTTAAAAAATGAATAAGTCACTTTGGCAGCTCCAGGTTTCTGTCCTTGTATTTTTAGAAATTGTCCATTGCTTCATCTCTCCAATCAATAGATGTGACACAATTGTGGAATACTGGGCTAAAGTAGATATGTGCCATTATTCATACTGCCTGTATTTACATGCATTTTTAATCAGTGTATGAATTCCACACCATGAGCGCTTTTAAGATTTAGTCCCTGTGGATGATCCAGTGTAAATCAGGATTCCCATTTAGTACTGTTGTAAGGAAAGTATATGCCATTGCTTACATGCTATCAGTTTTCTCCAATAAATTGTTTTTAGTTTTTCCCAAGCCTCACAAAGTATTTTCTCACACTATGTAATTCTCCATACACATTTTCTTTAATTGACCCAAACTGTGATAAAAAAACAAATTACAATAAGAGAAGTTCTTCTTCAAGTTGGGCTTGACTCCTGGCAATTTCATGGATGTGCAAATATACTTTTCTGGACAACAATATGGGAATTGTTTGTCCCTGTTTTCTTCCCCAATATTTCTCTTGACTTTTCTGTCTAGCCTACAGAGAAAGATTTCCTGTTTGTTTCCTATCCCAACCAAGTCTAGCCTATTTAGTTTTCCAAAAGTAGCCAAGCTGCCTAAGTGCTGCAGGATCAGCATTACATTAATAACCAATAGCGGCATCTTGATGGCATGATTTAATTGCTCAATAGATAAATGGACAGCAGTTGAATTAAACACTGATTGGAATTACATTTATGTTATCCTATAACGATTGCCATGGTTGGGTTTTAGATGGTAGAACAGCTTCATGTTTTCTCAACGCAAGTTACAAGAGTACCAAAATTTAACTGAAAAGAATTATCTGAAAGACATAAGCTGTTCCAATTTTAAGGTATATCTTTATAGTTCTTATTAATTGACTTCATTGTAGAGTTACATTTATATTATTAAAAAAAATCAACTCAATTAAAAACAGAGTTTGCATATTTCAGTGGAATAAAACTAATAATGTGACTAACATTCTCCCTTAGGTTCCAGATGTAATAATTCAAGCAGCTACAGAAGAATCAGATCATATCTTTAAAACAGTTTCACCAGAACAACCAAGCATCCATGAAAGTGAAGATTATTTATCTTCAGAGGTTGAAGTGACATTAGAGTTAATTGCTGAAAAGTCTAAAAGTTCGATGCATCTCTCTAGTGAAGAAGAATTAGTAAGTAAAAACAATCATTTTTCTTTCCTATTGGATCATTGTAGGCCCTGGTTGGTCCATACATTAGGGCTTAACCCACAGTACAAGGACCAAGAATGATTCAGAAGTTTGAGTAAGCATCCAACTATGTCCCTCAGTGAAGGGAAGAATAGTTTATTCATGGGGACTTCTGGTGCATAGCAAACATTGTGAGTACTTACTAGCAGTATGTGGAGTATTTTCATCTTTCCATGGCTTTGCCTTTCTAGAAAGCAAGATAACTTGACTTCTCAGATCCTGGAATATAATTGCCAAAGAGATTTAAGGATTTTCCAGGAATACTATGAAGCAAAATAGTGGGCATAACAGATATACAAATGGTAAGGCATGTGTGGGGAGGGGAGAAAGGCGCTTCCTTCAGTGGAAGGAGATTGAGCTCTCTTCGGAGGGAGTTAAAGAGTTTTAAAGATAAAAAGACAATCATTAAGGCACCCGTGGTGCCTCTTAAACCTCTTTCTCCTATGCAGATCGATCGATCGATCGATCGATAGATAGTCAGACTACAAAAAAGATGCTAGCAAACTAAATGGAGCATAGGAGGCTCTGGAATAGCTTCTAATTTCAGTTTCCCTTTTCTCTTAGAAGAGCTGATCTCTTATCCCATAATTTATTTAGGAGCCTTTAGTGAAGGACTTGGTAAAAAAAAATTGCAATATATAGCTAGAAAACACAATCACATGTTAACTGTTGAAATTATAAATAGCTCTTAAAAGCTGGTAGAGTTTGTAGAATTCAAGATATTTCTTCCTGATTGAACATTATGAGTTAGGAAGGTGATGTGGTTGTAAAAAGGCAAAAGCAATTTTAGGCCATATCAACAGAAGCATCTATTTTATACTGCCTGATAGATTCAGTCTCAAGAACTGTATGCATTTCTGGGGTTTTCATTTAGGAGGATTCAAAGAAAGTCAGGTCCAGAGTTTCTGAGGATGTCCAAGAGATTAGAAATGAAGTTTTGAAGAGGCATTAAAAGAATTAGACATGTCTAACCTTGAGAAGAAAGGACTGAGTGGCATATAATGGTATTTTTAATAGCTGAAAGGATGACACACAGATGATTGAGATGTTCTTTAATCCCCTAGAGAAGATGGGATGAAATCATGGATTTATGTTATAGGAAGGCAGATTCTACAGTAGTTGAACGTTAGGAAATTATTTTTATTTTAGAAATGTATAGGCTGCCCAACTCTACAACAACTCTCTGAGCACATACAACAATAATAATCATATAATTAAGAAACCCAAATTCCAGAAGAAAGCAATAATTAAAGATAACGAGATATCTAGAGACCTACCACTTACTCAGTTCATAGCCTGGGGAAACCCATGCTTTCAAGGCTCTTGTACAGAGTAGAGACCAGACAGGGGTATAGTGTTCTATACTGATAGCAGTAGCAATAGTACTTATATACTGCTTTACAGTGCTTTACAGTCATCTCTAAGCTGTTTACAGAGTCAGCATATTGCCCCAACAATTTGGGTCCTCATTTTACCCACCTCAGAAGGATGGTAGGTTGAGTCAACCTTGAGCCAGGTGAAATTTGAACTGCCAAATTGCAGGCAGCCAGCAGTCAGCAGAAGTAGCCTGCAGTATTGCACTCTGAACCACCGTGGCTCATGTCCCGTCAGGTGACACTGGGACCTGAATGAGATCTGGATTATGGCCTGATTGTATAGGCCAGTCAGAAGATGCAAAAGACTAGCTGTCTTTTTAGGTAAACTTTTCCTTAATATTAAGAACAGTTCAATGGTACTGTTTATGGTATTGTTCAGATACTGCTTATCTACAAAATATCTTCACTAAATATCTTTAAGCAGAGACAGATGCTCTAATGTGGTCCCTTTTCATAAAGCAAGATGTTGGAATCAATAGCTTCAATGTATGTTCCAAGCCTCTGTTTCTCTGAATGCTTAATGTTCAATTATTATAATTGTATAATTAAATGATCTAATTATTACATAATTATAATTATGTTTATTCCTAGTCAATAATTAATTTTCCAAGGTGAAATATACAATCTTATTTTTTATGCCTATGGTTAATTAAAGCAGAGAAGATTAGTGTTAGTCTAACCTTCCCTGCTTCAGTTTAAAATCCATCTTTGTGTGTATATAAACCAGTTCTTACTATTTCTAGTCTACAAAAAGGCAGACCCAACAATCCCAGATGAAAATCTTCTGAATTTATTTTAATCAAGATTTTCTTCACATTCTTGAACAGCTTGATTTTATTATTGTCTTCTGATAGGACTTTGCATCTTCAGGCAAGGACTTGATAATACAAGGAAAAGCATTTCCAAAGGCTAGACCAGTTAAAATTCAGAAAAATATAGAAGACCTTCAGTATCAACAACCAGTATCTCTCCTTTCTACATGGACTACAAAGATCAAGTGAGCTTAAGATTTCTTTATGTAATGTTATTAATTAATAATATGATTTTACATTTACATTAGCTTTAGGTTGATAAAAATCACTTGTATACGTCATTTGAACAAAAATGTATAGCTGATTATAGATGTTTTATAAAAGAACAAGAGTTTGACTAAGGCAAGCTAATGTACAAATAATAGCTCTGGCAGAAATTTTGACTGACATACAACATAGTTGCTTGGAAATAAGTTCTTTTTCAATATAAGGAATGCATCTTACTAAGCATGATTTGATTTGCCTGATCTTGAACTTTTCATTTAATTTTATTCTCCACTTTTTTGGCACATAATATTTTATTGTGGAGTATCTTGAATTATTTTATGGGTGTGGAAAAAGGCCTTCATAATTAGCTTTTGTAGTGCTTCAAGGTCTGAAAGTTTTCTTGGAAATAGAAGAGAGGACTTTTATAGCAGGACTAGAGTTCGTAAATGGGTATGACTTTCAGTTAAGTAACAGAGGGTGGACTCAGAGAAAAAGAATGCCAAAGTTTATGAAACAGTCAAATGGCATTTAGGTGACCTTGTGCATGCCATTGCTTATCTGCATTGCTTTAAATGCATTTGGTTGGCAAGATTATATATTAAAACAAATAGTGACAGCAGACAATGAGTATTTTACTTCAATAAAAAGTCACTGTCAAATTATCAACAGTGCAGAAAAAGCATGAATTTGTAGAAAATAAGACCTATTGAGTGAGGTTAATGTAGGCCACACACATAGTATTGTTTTTCTTGTCTCTTCTTTCAAAGGATGATAAATAGACTGCTTAAGGAGAGTATGTGTTGTAAAAACACACACCTTTGCCTATAAAGTGCTTTAAATATTTTAGTTTTTGCTGCGAGTATTTCTATTCTGTTTGCTAAATTAATCTGCTTTTGGAGACCATGTTGGACACTGAAACTAGTTAGATAAATGTAAAAATACTAACAAAATGTGCTGGATATTAATGTTTATTCTATTCACTTGTACAAATATTTTGTAAAATTACAGAGTAGTTCTCAGGTTAAGAAAAAACCTAAACATTGGAATCCAGTAAAAAATGGAATCTGTGTGATGAAAGTAAAGCTGGTTGTATTGTGATCCATACGCTTTGTTTCATAGTTCACCAAGCACTTTTACAGAATAGTTTCTCAATTAAGAAAACCTATCTATTACTTAACTATCTTTTTTCACTACTGGTTCATTGTGATATATCAGGAGGTTTTCAGTCTTGTCATAACAAACCCAAACGTGATTATCCTTATAGAATAAGAAAGCTAGTCATCTTTGTTCCCAAAACATGCCAGATTCTGTTTTATTTTGTTATAACAAAGATTTATATAGAGTTGCAATGAGGCTTATACTGTGTGTATGTATATGTACACAGAGGCAGGGAGGGGGAAGAGAGAGAAGCACACTTTATAAATGAATGCTCATTTTATTCTTTAAAATTGATGAATGTGACCCAAGAAATATTGAAGCATTCATTATATATGGCTAATATACTATATTATATGCATATTACTGTGCTGTTTACGAAGATACATTGTGTTTTGGGGTTGATAATTTAGTGGAACTGTTGGGGATTTGTGGATTTGTTGGGGATTTGTGGCCGATCTAGAGATCGCGAAGGCAGACCCGACATACGTGGCAGACAGAGAGGCGTGGAAGCAGTACTCAAGGACATTAGCGGACCTCGCCAGAGCGGGAGACAAACGCTGAAGAAAAAGAAGAAGAAGAAGTTGGGGATTTGTGGATATATAAAATATGTATTTCTGGTTGTTGTACAGAAAGATTCTTCTAATGAGTAGTATAATTATGGTTGCTCTCTGATGTATGCTTAACTTGAGTGAGTCTTAAGAAACTTTCTTTTAAGTAAATATATTTAAGATATTTAATTGTTGCAGAGTTACTTTATAGTCAGTATATACTTGCATAACCTGTTAATATGATCTTTATTTTCCTCCCCAGAGATGTGGATTACCCACTTATTCATCTTCTATGTACCACCTCTCCTGGGGTTGTGTTGCCCACTAATCTGCAGCTAGTTTCTAGAGTACATCATACCCTAGACAAAAATGGTCATGATATTTCATTACCACCTATTAATTTTGACTGCCACAATTCTGAAGACCTATTCCCAGTAACTGCTGCATTTGAGAAACACATGTTCAGAGAAAGGTAAGCATCTAGTACATTGTGAAATGCTTATATTTATCAGAATACTATAATACACCTATATAATTAGTATTTTTTCCCCCTGAATCTTGTATCCTGATAGTTCTGATTTTCTTCATCCGTATAAAGGGTGAATGAAATCAGAATTGACCAAACTATCATTAATTCAACACTTGTATAATGAAACAATTTGCATAGTATCTTTTTTATTTTAATATTTAATCTTATTTAATATGCCTATTGATGCAAATTGCTGATCTATAGCATCTGGCTTTCAGGAGTGCTACTTTATTCTCAAGCATAAAGAGTACCGATGCAAGAAACCTTTCTGAATGGTGGCACGGATGCTTTCTCATGGACAATTTAGATGCCAGGAAGAAACCTTTCTTCCTGGCATCTAAATTAGTATACGTTCAGTGTGAAGTCAACATTTTTGTTAATTCTCCAGAAATTTTGAATTATTTTAAATCAAGGTGGACTCATGGGTATCCACAAGAGAGGGAAAAATAATATTGCCATTACCTGGATCAACTGGAATCCCAGATTTGCAAGTTTCATAAAAAGAGTTTGTAACTTAAAGAGTTTTTAAAATATGGAAAAAGAAATACAGTAATTTTTTTCTCTGATTTTGTCACAATCTTTTGCCTGCCTTTCATTTTTTGGAGCAAATAAATGAACAGTCTTAGTAATGTATGATACAGAAGAAATTAGTATTGTCTTACATAAATAATTCAGCAATTCAGACTTTTGTTATAGCTCTGACTGGGATAGTTTTTGTGGTAGTTTCTATGCAAACAGTGCCATGTATTTGGAGTTGGAGTTTTTAATACTTTTACATATCTTTATTTATATACAATACGGGCAGTAATCCAATTGTTATGAATACAGCTGGAGTCTACCATTTTGCAAACAGTAGGATGGTGACTAAAACTAATTTATGGTAGTATTAGTAATGTCATATTCTCCTGCTTTTATTAAGGGAATCAGAGTATATTTTGGAATTGAAATACTGGGTGGATTTGTAGTATGTTTGTAAAGTGTTAAACAAGACCACTTTCTTCTTTTGCTTGCAGCAGACTAAAAATGTTCACTACAACTACAATGTTGGGGAAAATGTGAGAAAATATGCATTGAGTCATGATTCAAACCTCTGAGTTTTGGATATCCATCTTGATATCCGATGCATGTAGTTAGATCACAGGTTTCAGGTTACAGTGCATATCACTTTCCTTTTCTTTCTCCCTGCCCTGTCCCCCAAATACTTCAGTATTCCTGAGAAATTCCTGAGAATCTAATATGTTACTTACAGAGCAGAGTCTAGGGTGGTGGCAAGATAGATCAGGTGGCATTATACAACTCAAGTAAGTTGGAAAAGAATATATTTATCATGTTTATATCTTTTTATTCTCCAAAAGTACTAGTGAATTTTGATCTGCTCTTTGACCAGGAACACCTTTCTCATCAAGTTTAAACATTAATTTATTTTCCTTATAAAATCCATGATATCAACCACTCTTAGAAGATTTGAATGGCTTCCTTTATTTCAGCTTTTTAGAAATGTATACATAGGCAGAAAGAAATAATTGGGAATCCCAAGTTTAATCTATGAAAAGAAAGGACAGATTTTAAAATTGCTTTTCAAGGTGAGGCTCTTCTATTATGGTAGATTGCTTCCCACATTCTTCATTACCACAACCACACAAATTGGTAGTGTAGCCAGGCAAATATTTGCCATAGGCAATATTAGATGTTTTTCCATTGATATTTAAATGTGTCATGAGTGAAGATTTTCAAATAGATACTTGAAAGGTTTACATAGAATTAAATCAAATTAAATCAAAATAAAATCCAAATGAATCTTAAAAAATAAAGACATTGACTGAAAGTAACAGAATGAAATTTAACACAGAGGAGTGCAAAGTACAGTAGTACAAAGATTGTAAGAAGCAAAAAAATAAGTTAAATACAACATAGAGAGATATCTGGCTGGATATTTGTGAAAAAGAGTACTTGATTACAAATTGAATATGAGTCAGCACTGAATTGACTCATTTTTTATAGATTATCTACGTAAAAAAGACAGATCCAACTTTATACTGCATCATCAGAAATCTAGTTTTCAAATCATTGGTAACAGTTTTAGGACATTCCTCTAAATCCAGTAGTGAGTTGATGTCTTGCTAGCTTTTGCTGGCTAGCAGGACAGATTTTGTGAACCTCTTGATGCTGGATTGAAGCAGGCATAATCACCCCAGAACAAAGGAGAGATCATTGAGGTCATTCATGTGATTCCAAACAGTGACTCCTCATGATTAGACTGTAGAAACGTCTCTTTCTATGGTCAGCTTCTGAGTAGGGTGGCTGCGAGTAGGTATGCATCAAGCGCACACTTACAAAGCAGACTTTACAGACTGCTTGACCAAGGCTTATATCTTAATTACTTTATATTTTTCTCATATTGGAGAGATTAAGACTCTTCAAACTGGTCAGGTTTTCTTGCATTCATTGGGTGAATTTCTGCCTCCATAAAAGATGATGGTATAAATTGGATTTCAAACGTTTTAAAAATATATTATTTTTTGACTATGCAGTGAAAGGGTGCTTAATATGTGGATTTTAGAAAGTTAATAACAAATTAAGGAGGAAGAGGGATTTGGAATTATAGTTTTGAATTATTTGGAAGATATTTTCTCATGGGGAAATGTAAATTGCATTCATATTTTTTTGAATGATAAGGAGATTCTGAAGACCAAATAGTAGAGCCAGAATCTCAAAGGTGCTTTTCAAAAGGCAACTGGATTTTCTTTCTTTTTTTCCTTGAAAACATTTCACTCTCATCCAAGAAGGTTCTGTCTGAATGGTGGGGAATAGGAAGGTAGAGCCAGAAGATAAAGAAAATGGAGCAGAAATCCCTAATGCAAACTTTTCAACACCTTTCAGCTATGTTTCGGGACAGAATGGATGAAATGCTTGATAAAATTGGTAGAACATGTTGTATTGTGGTTGAAAAAGAAGAATGGGCTGCAATGGATGCCTATAAAATCAGTTTTTCTCAAGGCGGTCGAGCGGCGGTCTGTAATGGCCGCCACAAAGAAGCCGGCAGCTGGGTAAGACTGAGCAGGAGGAAGAGGGGAGAAAGTTTCTAAGAGAAAGTTTTTTGGCTGACCCAGGACTTTAAGAGACGCCTAATCCTGAAAACTATGACTTCTTGAACGATACTTTGTTTCCAGATGAGAATTTTAAGCGGCAAAATTGAGGTGCTGAAAGGGAAAGTTTACTCTCCTTCCCTATGGAATCAACAAATGGCCATTGAGAAACCTGTCTTTTTTTTATAAAAGGTAAAAACTTGGCTTCTTGTTATAAGTGGGAAGGGAGAGGACAAAAAAATATTAAGATCTTGCTGGAGGAGATGCCTTGAAGATTTTGAGACTGGAAATTAATTGCAACAAGGCTCTAAAATACATATTGGGCTTTTTTTCTTTTCCTTTTTATTGATACCACCCCAGGAAGAGAAAGTGAGAACTTTGTGCTTTGTTTGGACTGATGTCTCTGGGACTTTGGGGAATTGTTCTAACTTTTGAAACATTTTGGTTGCTTTAAGAAGAAGAACAAAGAAAAGATTTACAATGGCTTTATCTATTGATGAACTTAAGGAATATGGAAAAATAAAGAAAGAAAGTAAGGACGCTATGAAGGAAGCCTTCCTTTTTTTAGAAATGGCGCTTGCTATTTATCAGCAAACACAACAACAGATGGAGGAAATAGAAGAAGAACAACAAGAAGAAGACGCCATCTTCAATGAATCTAAAAATTTAATTAAGAGAGAAAGGAGAAAGAGAGGAAGGAAAATGAAGGACTTAAGACTTAAAAAAACATTCAAGAAAGAGAAAAATAAGATGCAAAATCAATACAATGTTACTAAGCAAAAGAAAAAAGGAATACAACAGAGAGGGGAAGCTAAAAAGGCAGAGGTTATTAGAGGGGGAGGTAAAAAGGCCAGGTGGGATAAGAAAGGAAGGGAAAAGGGGGGAAAAAGCCACAAAGGTATGAAACAAGATGGGAAAAAAGGATTTTTTTTCAGGGATAAAGGGTGATGTATAATTTCTTTAAAAAAGAAGATTCTGCAAGGTACATAAGATGGTATTGTACTATTTGTATTAGAAATAGAAAATTAGAATGTTATAAGAATTAATAAAATATTAAAATATTGAAATGTTTAGTAATGATAGACTTTAAAATTTAACAAAATATTAAAAGGAATGTTTAAAATATTAAGTTTAATTAAAGAGTTTAATTGACTATTGTGTTGATTTTACTATAAACTTATTATTCTAGCATTTGTTTTTTGAAATAGATAATTGGAATGTTATAAGATTTAACATTTAGATTTATTATCTAATTATATTAATTATTTTGGACTTAATTTTTTTTCCTCTTTTTAAAAGTTAGTAGGTAGAATGTACTAAGCAGAATCAGATTGGGTACTAGGCATTATTTTAAATATTAATTTAGGGGGAGGATAGAAAGGCATCATACTCTGATCAGTGATTTCAGGAGAAATCCTTTTTTTTTTTATTGTAGGGAATGAGATAAATGGATAATTTGGAAAGAATGGACAAAAAATACAAATACAATGATTTAAATTAAAATGAATTAAATAAAATAGAATTAAGAAGAATGAAAAGCGGGGAGAAGTTATATAGAAGATATAGAATGGTAAATAAGATAGGTAATGGTATATAAGATGAGCACGAATTTAATTGAGTCCATACAAAGAGAGGTAATCTGGGGCCAAACTACTTTCTTAAAAGAAGTTTTATATTTTTGTGTTTTGTGTGTTCATGTTTGTTTGAGAATTAATAAAACCTCAGAGGAATGTTCGATGAGAATAATGGTAATCAAGTCAGAGAGAAATGTAGATGATGATTATAAATTGGATAAATATAGAAAATAACAATAATAATAATGAAATTGAATACGAAAAGAGAAATAATGAGAAATTT